GGAGATGTAGGGGAGTGTATGGGGTATGTTTGGGTGGCTTTGGGGTGTCGCCGCTGCCGTAGGCGATTTCCGGCGGCGACTCAGGGCGGTGCTAGGGTTTCTGGTTCTTTTTAGGTTCAAGATCTACTGGTTTTCATGGGAGTTTTTGGGGATTTGATTGGTAGGGTGAGGTGTAGAAAGAGTGAGCAGAGAGGATAGGGTGGTTTTTTGGGTAGTTTCAGGCGTCACCGCTGTCATAAGTGAATTCCGACGGCGGCTTAAGCAAGAGGGTCGTAAGGCAGCTAGGGTTTGAGGTGTGGTTAGAGAGAGAGATGTGAGAGAGGGGGGTGAGACGAAATGATGGGGGTAGGGGGTCGTTAGGACAATTTTATACTAAAGGGAAGGGGGTTCCGAGCCATTGGATCTTGTGAAGATCAACGGCTTGGATTGATTGGCACCAAAACGTAGTTAGATGGGATTTTAAACTGGACCGGGGTATTGGGCTCTGTCGGTTTTGGACTAGGTGTGTGGATTGGGCTGGTTTAAAATTGGCCCAGTTCAGCCAACACTTAACTAAACCCATTTTTGTTTAATTTTAAAAATCTAATTAGTTTAATTAAATTCTAAATTAGGTACTAAATTATCTTAATTTGTAAAATTTAAATAACCATTTATTTTTATTATTTACATAATTAGTCAATCTTAAATGATTAAACGAAAATTACTAATTTTAACACTAAAACTAAAAATGTAAAAATAAACATTATTTTTGTAATTTTTATTTTAATAAAACAATTAATTAACGACTTAACCTTAAAAATGCAAATAACAACCTAAAATGCAATGCATGACATTTTGAACATTTCTTTAGGGTATTTTTCATGATTTTAAAATATTAAATGTGCACAAAAAATGCAACTAAATGCAAACAATTAACAAGAAATTCCTAAAAAAATTCTATAAAAACGAAAATAATTTAGAAAAACCTATTTTTTAATTTTGTAGGAGTATTTCTAGTCGGGCAAAAATCATGTGCTCACAGCTGCCCCTCTTTGCTCGGAAACACGAAGTGTTTTCGAACAAAGATAAAATGAGAAATTACGAGTGATTTTTGCCCGTTTGGATACTCCATGGGAAGAATTTAAAAAAGGTTGACCGAGCCTTGCTCTGGAGGTTTCCTACATATCCTTGGAGTTAAAGGAATCAGGTCAGTGTAGTTCTTGAAATTTTAGTAAGTGGGACTAGCGGAAAGCTGTGATTTCACTGCTGTTACTGCTGGTGAGCTCCTTATTACACCAAAGTCAAAATGAAAAAACTAGCTAAGCCTATCAACTACGAGTTAAAAGATTCCTATCTATAAATCTTCTGAAGCTTGATCTTGAGTCTTGGCTGGTTCTTCAATCAGACTCTGATCTGAATCTTGATGCTTGGTAGTTGCAGGTGCTAGCTCATTCTTCTTCAGCTTTCGGATCAGTATGGGACAAGTTTGTGGATTTATCCATGTTTTGAGCAGTTCACATCTTTTTTCCATCTCTGCACTTTGGTTTCAACTCTTTTCTTTTCTTTCTTTTATTCTGGACTGAAACTTCTTCTTTTGGTCGTCTCGAATCTTGCACCTCGAGGTATTACCTACTCAGGCATCAAAACGAACGAATGAAATTTTTCTGCTTCAGTTTTCACTAGGAAACTTTTGTGAGTTATTGTAAAGAAATTCTATGTTACTTCATTATTAAAAGCGATAAAAGAGGCGGGAGTGGTGCATCCGGAGGAAACGTAGACTAGGGAGTGGAGACCCTACGCCTAAAAGTAAAATCAACTAGGGATTGAAGACCCTGTGTTGGAAAATTAACAGGTTATGCTGGCATCAACTAGGGAGTGGAGACCCTATGTTGGAAAATCATCAGGTTATGCTGGCATCAACTAGGGAATGGAGACTCTATGTTGGAAAATCATCAGGTTATGCTGGCATCAACTAGGGAGTGGAGACCATATGTTGGAAAATCATCAGGTTATGCTGGCATCAACTAGGGAGTGGAGACCATATGTTGGAAAATCATCAGGTTATGCTGGTATCAACTAGGGAGTGGAGGCCCTATGTTGGAAAATCATCAGGTTATGCTGGCATCAACTAGGGAGTGGAGACCCTATGTTGGAAAATCATCAGGTTATGCTGGCATCAACTAGGGAGTGGAGACCCTATATTGGAAAATCATCAGGTTATGCTATCATCAACTAGGGAGTGGAGACTCTATGCTGAAAAATTATCAGGTTATGCTGGCATCAACTAGGGAATGGAGACCCTATGTTGGAATATCATCAGGTTATGCTGGCATCTACTAGGGAGTGGAGACCCTATGTTGGAAAATCATCAGGTTATGCTGGCATCAACTAGGGAGTGGAGTCTCTATGTTGGAAAATCATCAACTAGGGAGTGGAGACCCTATGTTGGAAAATCATCAACTAGGGAGTGGTGACCCTATGTTGATATTAGGTTATGCTGGCATCAACTAGGGAGTGGAGATCCTATTTTGACATCAACTAGGGAGTGGTGACCCTATGTTGGCTTAGGCTATGCTTGCATCAACTAGGGAATGGAGATCCTATGTTGGAAAAAACACAGCTAGGGATTGGAGACCCTATACTACCATGATTTTGAACTTTTCTTCTTTTCTTTCTTTGCATTTCATTTTTCATCATTTTTAGAAAGAATTTGGAGGAGACTTCCCTTTTGGATTGATTATTGCTGCAGAGCCATTTTAGTCTCTGCGCAGTTTCTTTTTGTTACACCTGTTTCTTGCAAAGTTGCTTTGAATTAACACCTGTTTCTTGTTTTTCAAACAAAGAACAATTTGTCAGTTTGAAACAGTGGTTGGTTTTGTGGCCTTGAGCGTTCCAGTCACTTGATCTCAGCCCGGACTACAATTGCTTGTTCCCTGAGCACCGACTTTATTTCTGGCCGTGGCGAACTTGGCTTTTCCAGAACTTTACATGATGGTTAATCACGTAGAACTTAACCTTTTTCAACTTTATTTCACCCTCGTGGGCATTTGACTTTGATTTCCTTTTTTTTTCCAGGAGTTTTTGATTTCAAAGCATCGACCAACATGGCCAGTCGAAGTCGACTCGATGCACCTGCCGAGGCTAGGTGCCTTCTTGAACATTGGCTCGTGTCAAACAAAAGCCCCGTAATTCAATCTTGCCATCCTTTCTTTGTCTTAGTTTTAGAACAGAATTAGACAGAAAGGGATTCAAAGAAAACAAGCAATGGAATGGACAAATGAATTTAAACGAGAGGTATCCCTTTCGGGGAAAAGAAAGAAAGACTTATCTGGAGTGCATGTGGACTTCAATGAACATGACATGCCTCTTAGACTGGATGCGCGATTTGTGTAAGTCGTCCAACTCTCATAAATTCATTATAACTCATACCTCAAAACTGAGAAACCTTGCCAGGACTCTGTCGATGCCGATGGCTGTGACGATCCCCTTTTCGATCAGTGGCGCCCTTTTGCGGGTTTTCACCAGCTGACCTCTCTCATTTCTCTTCTCACCGTCGCCTGATAGTGCTCTTTGCGAGTTTTCACTAATAAGACTCTCATTTTCATCACCTTACGGTGCCCGTGAAGGTTTTCACCAATAAGACTCTCTCATTTTATATCTCTTATTTTGTTGTATCAGATCCAAACGATTGTATCCTCCAATTTGAACATTCTCGCTGATTGATCGGAAGGACTTGAACAGGATTTGGGTAAAAGAATTTGGACTGAATTACAACTTTGGAACCTTTAAGGCGAAACCATTGCCGAATCATTGTAACTTTTGCCCCAATTTCAATTTTGGGGAAATATGGATTTTTGTTTTGGTGTGACTGAACCCCAGAGAGAGGCTGCCTACGTATCCTTTTGGAATCAAGTCGAACGTAGTTCAAGGAAACTTTTGTTTTTGTTTTTCTTTTGTTTTTGTTTTTTTTAACACTTTCAAGTTCCAAAGAGGGTGATCAAAGAAGAGTAATCGGCTCAAAGGATTTGCAAAGGGTTGATAGTGTTTGGGTAGCGAGAATGAAAGCCTTCGTCATCCCAATCGGAGAGCACTAAAATCACGTAAAAGGGTCAAACAGAATACCTTTTGACCGCATCTGCATTGACAGCTGTTTCGGGATCATTTCCTTCGATGTCTCCCAGATACAGCGCTCCTTTCGGCAACAGTTTTCTTACAATGTACGGACCTTTCCAATTCGGAGCAAATTTTCCTTTTGCTTCCTCATGATGCAGGAGAATACGTCTCAGAACGAGTTGCCTCACCTTAAAGTTTCTAGGCCGCACTTTCTTGTTGTAGGCGCGGGCCATTCTTTGTTGATACAACTCCCGTGGCAAACTACGGCCATCCCCTTTTCATCAATCATAGGTAATTATTCCAACCGGGTCTTGACCTATTCATCATCCTCAATCTCAGCTTCAACAATGATTCGAAGAGAGGGAATCTCAACTTCTATAGGTATTACGGCTTCTGTGCCACAAACCAATAAATAGGGTGTGGCTCGAATTGATGTGCGCACGGTTGTGCGATATCCCAATAATGCAAAAGGCAGCTTTTCATGCCATTGTCTAGAACTTTGAATCATTTTCCTGAGGATCTTCTTGATATTCTTGTTTGCCGCTTCAACAACACCATTAGCTTTGGGCCGATAAGGGGTAGAATTCCGATGGGTAATCTTAAATTGTTCGCATACCTCCCTCATCAAGTGGCTGTTCAAATTTGTAGCATTGTCTGTAATGATAGTTTTTGGAATACCAAAACGACAAATAATGTTGGAATGTACGAAGTCCACCACTGCTTTCTTGGTGACGGCTTTGAAAGTGACTGCTTCAACCCACTTTTTGAAATAATCAATGGAAACCAAGATGAATCTATGCCCATTTGAGGCTTTCGGCTCGATCGGCCCAATGAGATCCATATCCCAAGCAATAAGTGGCCAAGGTGCTGACATAGGATGCAACTCTGAAGGCGGTGCATGAATCAGGTCACCGTGTATCTGACACTGATGGCGTTTTCGGACAAAACTGAAGCAATCATTTTCCATGGTCATCCAGTAATAACCTGCCCGCATGATTTTCTTTGCAAGGACATATCCGTTCATGTGGGGGCCGCATACTCTTGAATGAACTTCGTTCATGATCTTTTTAGCTTCTTTGGCATCTACACACCTCAAAAGATTTAGACCTGGAGTTCTTTTGTACAAAACTTCTCCGCTTAAGAAGAAACCGCTAGCAAGCCTTCTAATGGCTCTCTTTTGGTCTCTATTAGCCTGCTCGAGGTATTCTTTTGTTTTCAAGAATCTTTTAATATCATGATACCGTGGCTGAACATCTGGTTCTATTTCAACAGTATTGCAATAACCATACCTTTCTCGAATTTGGATCTCCAACGGGTCAATATGGGCATTGCCTGGATACGGCAACACTGCAGCCAAGGTAGCTAGTGCATCAGCTAACTCATTGTGGAATCGAGGGATGTACCTGAATTCAACAGAGTTGAATCGTTTGCTAAGATCTTTCACATGTTTCCTGTATGGGATAAGCTTGATGTCCTGAGTTTCCCATTCACCTTGAGCTTGTCGAATAATCAAGTCAGAATCTCCCATGATTAACAATTCTTCCACATCCATGTCGACCGCCATATTCATACCCATAATGCCGGCTCCATATTCAGCGGTGTTGTTTGTACAAAAGAACCGAATTCGGTCTGTGGCCGGATAGTGCTGACCAGTGGGAGAAATCAAAATTTCCCCAATCCTAACACCTTTTGCAGTTACAGCTCCATCAAAGAACATTTTCCAAGCATTGGTGTCTTCTAGAATTACTTCAACTAAATTTTCTTCCTCATCCGGAAAGTAAGTACTCAGGGGTTGGTATTCATCATCAACCCGGCTAGGTGATTCGCCAAGGCTTGAGCTTTCATCGCCGTGCGGGTGACATAGACAATGTCAAACTCAGTGAGCAGGATTTTCCACTTTGCTAACCTTCCCGTGGGCATTGGTTTTTGGAATATGTACATCAGAGGATCCATTCTTGTTATGAGATATGTGGTGTAGGCCAACAACTAATGTCTAAGCTTCTGCGCGACCCAAGTTAGGGCGCAACAAGTTCTTTCCAGCAACGTGTATTTGGCTTCATAACCAGTAAATTTCTTGCTCAAATAGTATATGGCTTGTTATTTCTTCCCGATTGCATCATGTTGCCCGAGAACACAACCAAAAGAATTCTCCATGACCGTCAAGTACAAGAATAAAGGTCTTCCAGGCTCAGGCGGAACCAACACCGGCGGATTTGACAAATATTCTTTGATTTTATCAAAATCTTCTTGACACTCATCCGTCCATTTAATCGCCGCGTCTTTCTTTAGCAGCTTAAATATGGGCTCACATGTGGTAGTCAGTTGAGCAATGAACCTGCTGATGTAATTCAATCTTCCCAGCAGACCCATGACCTCTTTCTTGGTTCTCGGAGGTGGTAAATCCTGAATAGATTTTATCTTTGTTGGATCTAACTCGATACCCCTCCGACTGACTATAAATCCCAAAAGTTTCCCAGATGGAACTCCAAATGCACATTTAGCTGGATTCAACTTTAAGTCATACTTGCGAAGATGCTCAAAGAACTTTCTCAGATCCACACATGGTCTTCCTACGCTCTGGATTTAATGATCACATCATCCACATACACCTCAATTTCCTGGTGCATCATGTCATGGAAGATGGCGGTCATAGCTCTCATGTATGTTCCTCCTGCGTTTTTCAGACCGAATGGCATGACCCTGTAACGGTAAGTGCCCGATGGTGTGGTGAAAGCTGTCCTTTCTGCATCTTCTTCATCCATCAGGACTTGGAGATACCCAGCATAACAATCCACAAAAGACTGTATCTCATGTTTGGCACAATTGTCAACAAGAATGTGGATGTTTGGTAATGGAAAGTTGTCCTTGGGGCTTGCTTTGTTCAAATCCCTATAGTCAACACATACTCGGATCTTCCTGTCCTTCTTGGGTACTAGGACTACATTCGCCAACCATGTGGTGTATCGGACTACTCAGATTACACCAGCTTTTAATTGTTTGGCAACCTCTTCTTTGATCTTATCACTGATGTCTGTTTTAAATTTTCTTTTCTTTTGTTGGACGGGTGGACATGCGAGATAAGTTGGAAACTTATGTACAACTAAATCGACACTTAGTCCTAGCATATCTTCGTAAGACCATGCAAACACGTCTTTAAATTAAAACAAAAGTTAAATCAATGCATCTCTAGTTTTTTCCTCAGCGTGAATGCTTATCATAGTTTGTCTGATCTCTTCTAAACTGCCCAAATTAACTGGCTCAGTTTCATTTAGGTTTGGCTTAGGCTTATTCTCAAATTGTTCCAATTCTCAATTTATTTCCCTAAAAGACTCATCTTCATCATATTCTGGTTCTTGATTCATTATTTCATAGTTAGACAGCATTTTAGGATCTGGGCATGAAGTCCGCAAGCATGTCGTGTTATTTAAGTCCGCAATATCAGAACTGAAAAGAGAAAGATAAGAAAAATAACAAAATCAGAAAGAATAATAGAAAAAGATTCATAGACGATGAAATATTGATTTCATTTCATTGAATTTGAATATAGGAGGGTTTACATCAGAATTTAAAAGACAACAAACTAAAACATTCGAGTTACACGCTGAAATAACTCGGAATGAAGAAAAGATGGAAAGACTGAACTACCTGGATTCCCACCTGATAGGGAATGGAGTAGCCTTCCAATTTTGAAGTTTATCATTGGCCCCAAGTATAGCAACTCAGTAGTGCTTGAGCCTTCGCCCGGTTGGACCATGTGAACATCGTACAACATTTGCCTCATTGCCTCACAGATGTCCTCAATTTCTTCGGCCGTGAAGTCCTCTTCTTCTTCTTCTATATACCTTGGCTTAAAAAATTAACCTGGCGAGGTGCGAGACTGGCTGAGGCAGGACCAACCTATTTTTCTTACATTCATCGACCCACTTTACGTTGGCATCGGTAGTTTGAAAACCTATGCTAAAGAACTTCTTATTGACAATCAAAGTGACGAGCTCTGTGATGCCTTGTAAGGATACCCCGAGCCCTTTCCCGGGCTTGTACCCATGTTTGATCATTTCACTAGCAACCATGATTGATGCGTTTGATAAGTAGGGTTGAGGACATGGGGTTCCTTCTTCGCACTGGTCGGCGACCACGATTTCAAAGGCTTGGTAGACGATGTGTTCATTTCCCTCTCTAGCCTCCAGGCATGAGACTGACGGGTCCCTGTAAATTGACTGTTCATCTTCTCCGTGGACAACTATTTCTTGGTTTTCATGTTCAAATTTGACCATTTGATGAAGAGTAGAGGTCACGGCTCCCGCGGCATGGATCCATGATCTTCCTAAGAGAAAGTTATAGGAAGTGTCCATGTCCAGAAGTTGGAATATTAGTTCAAAATCTATAGGGCCAATGGTTAGGACCAGGTCAATTTCCCCTATCGTATCCCGCTTGACACCGTCGAAAGCACGCACGCAAACATTGTTTGGTCTGATCCTTTCTGTCCCTATTTCCATCCTTTGTAATGTTGATAGGGGGCAAATGTCAACTCCAGACCCACCGTCTAACATAACCCTTTTCACATAATATCCTTCGCACTTGACAATCAAGTGAAGGGCTTTGTTGTGGGCGGCTCCTTCTGGAGGCAAGTCATTTTGGCTAAAGGAGATTCAGTTGACCTCAAAAAATCGCTCTACCATTCTTTCCAACTGTTCAACTGTGGTCTCAATCGGAACATACGCCTTATTCAGCGTCTTTAGAAGCACTTTCTGATGTTCATTTGAGCTCATTAGCAAGGACAAAAGTGAAACCTGGGAAGGAGTCTTTCTAAGTTGATCAATTACAGCATACTCCAAGGTTTTCATCTTCCGAAAAAATTCCTCCGCTTCTTCAGAACTAACTAGCTTCTTGAGTGGAAACCGCTTCTGCTTTGTTTTGTTCAATTCTTTTGGGTTGTGATACTTCCCAGATTGGTTCATTTCATTTACTTCTCCCATAACTTCCTTTCCTTTGTATGTGACCACTGTCTTATTGTAGTTCCAAGGGACGACAGTGGGGTCTCTCAAGGGGCTCTGTGGTGCGCGGCTGATGACTAAAGGCTCATCCATCCTGGGTGGAATTATCGGCCTTCGTGCCACGTAAGTCCCTTTTGGTACATACATATTTGGCATATTCAGCGTGGTTTTCCTCTTTTCAAGTCTTTGGGAGGGCTCAACACGAGTTGTTCTTTCCTGGGGGCCCTAGGAACGTAGAGAATAGCCTCTTTAGCAGGTGCTGCCCCTGCCTTTGTCTCCATCATCTTTTCTGCATTTTGGGGAGTGGAATTTATCTTCTTCTCATCTCCGGCCTGTTTTACCACCGCTTTGGGTTTATTTTCTGAGTCGGCGATGGCAATGATAGCTTTTAATGCTGGGTCAAATTCTTTGTCCTCACAGATCATCCCGATGACCGTCCCGTTGTTGTGAGCCGGTAACAGTTTGTTGGTTACATTAGGGACTTCCTCGTCCTTTAACACCACCCGCTTCTGTTCTATTAGATTCTCGACTGCTCTCTTAAGTGTCCAACAATCTTCAGTGTCATGCCCTTCCACCCCTGAGTGATAAGCACACCTGGTACCTGGTCGGTAAGATGGAGATTCCGGATTCTGCCTGTTGGGAGGTACATGCTGCAATAGACCCATTTGGACTAAATTCGGGAACAGGCTAGAGTGAGACTCACCAATAGGGGTGAAGTCAGTCTTCCTGGGAGGTTCACGGAGGCGTGTGTTATATTGGTAATTGTTCTGTGGTAGACGAGGATTATACGGAGCTTGGTGAGGAGGGTTATTTCTTGGAGGTGGAGCTCTATTTTGGTTGTAATGCTGTTGTGGCGGTGCATGTGGTTGGGCGTTCATTACCGCATAAGGATGCGGGACCATAGCATATGCTACATCCTGGTGGGGATAGTAATGCTGCGGGGTCCTGGAAGGTGGACCAAAATAATCCCGGAGTTGACGAGAGTTTCTCAAGCTTGAAGCCATCATGGCTCCTCCTTCTTTTTTCGTCCGGCTTGCTGAACCTCCCGAGCCGCTCTGGATGGCTTGGGAAGTGGCTCCTAAAGCTGATTGACTTATGATGAGGCTTGTTTTCAGGCCATTTTCTACCATTTCTCCAATTTTTATGGTCTTCGCGAACGGTTTGCCCATGGCAGATATCATGTTTTGGAAATAATCGGCCTCTTGGGCTTGTAAGAAAACAGACCATCTCGGCCTCATCCATCGGTGGTTTTACCCTAGCTGCTTGTTCACGCCATTTGATAGCGTATTCCTGAAAACTTTCTGAGGCTTTCTTTTAGAAGTTGGTCAAAGAATTCCTGTCCGGGGCTATATCAACATTGTATTGGAATTGCCTTACAAAATCTCAGGTTAGGTCGTCCCATATATGCCAATGGGATATGTCTTGGTCTATATACCACTCAGAGGCAACTCTGGTAAGGCTTTCCTCGAAACAGGCCATTAACAGTTCCTCTTTTCCACCAGCACTCCTCAGCTGGTTACAATATCACTTTAAGTGGGCAATCGAGTCTCCATGCCCGTCATATCTTCCGAATTTTGGCATTTTAAAACCAACAGGTAAATGCACGTGAGGGAACATGCACAGATCGGCATATGAAACGCTCTTTTGGCCACTCAGGCCCTGCATATTCTTGAGGCTTTGCTCGATGCTTTTCATTTTTCATGCTATCTCTTCTTCTTCAGGA